AGCTACAATTCAGTTGCCAGGTATAGCACTTCAAGTTCCCTTTCCGTCAACCGCTCGATAACCTTGAGAAACGTGCAGCAATCCACAGCTTTGAAGTCTCATTAGTGCTTTGAACTTATATGGGTGTGTAAGACGCTATGCATTCACAGCTGCACGAAGCTACAACACATCGGCCTCGGTAAAACTACACCTTACCATGCACATGATGCAACTGCAAGAAATCGTATTTCTTACATCACCGCCCGCTCAAAAATCACAAACAATCACCTCCAAAACAGCCTCCAAAACCTTGCTTCCGCGCACCCCTAAACACCACCTAATTTCGATTTTACGTAGGGGTTTCTCGCACCACCCCCCCAGACCCCCTACTAACTCACTTCGTTCGCCAACACAACTCAGCTGGCGCCTTCTACGAAGGCTGGCTTTCGTAATATATATATATATATATTCTTCTTTCCGCATGCTTGGGGATTTTGACAGGTACCAGTGGACATCTAGTTACAGCCGCTGCATACCGCATGCCGTCAGCTCACCAATGAAGCTGATCCAGACGAGCGTCGGAGTGAGGATGCTCATCTCTGTATGTGCTTGGTTTTGTTGCTTTGTCCGGAATATCTCTTGTTCTAAGGGAATCCGGTGAGACTCTATAATTAGGTCCTTCCTTCCCCTCCCCTCCACTTGTTCGTTTCGTGTTTGGATTTTGATCCTAAAGTGCGCCGTGTCCTTGCAGTAATGTATTTTAGATATACGCGCTATCAAAACAACCATGCTGCTGATCCCATGCTGCTCTTCCCTTACTCCTGCGTGTGTCGGGGGAGGGGGTAACCATGCATTCAGGGGTGACGTATGCGTTTGCATTCGCTGCTTACAGTAAATAGCTTTGCCTTGAGAAGTTTGTTTTGGTGATATTGGAGGAAGCCCATCCATGGACTGTGTGCGATAGTCCAAGCAAGCGACCACAGTACATGTGAATATCAATTTTGATCGCGTGCACCTCCTTTGTCAATCACTCTAGATTTCAGCTGTTTGAGGTGTGATCAGCAAATAGGAATTCTGTCGCAGGACTTTCAAGTTCTGGATCAGAGCTTTGAGACCGGTGCTTTGGCATTTGAGATCGTCTTTTGAGAGTGTGTTCAAGTCTTGTGGAATTGGCACTCGTGGCACAACAACTTCTTTGGAACTAGGATCACTAGGATCTTGGCACTCCGGAAATTGGAGAGCTAGATACCGCTACATGACTCAGGCAACCTTGATCACTTAAGCTTGCGGCCTACCATCTTCCCTTTTTCAGTATCTCAGTGCAATTGAATGATAGTCTAGGTGCACTCACTTGCTTCAAGTGCTTGTGTTTATGGTCATGCGTGGAACATGGTGCTCAATGTTTAATGGTCAATTGCATGCCAGTAGGCCAAATCGTGACCTAGCGAGAAAGCAAGTCGATTGGACCAGCCACATCTTCACATGCCTTACCTTCCCTCCCTCCCAGTGTTTAGCTGCGTCGTGCACATAACAGCTGTGGACAGCTCTTGGCAAAGCCCTGCTTCACTTCTCGCGGCCTGCTCTCCAGATCTACTTGAGATGATTCAGGCGGTTGCTCGGCTCGTGCTTTTCGAACACGCCTCACGTTAGAGCTCTCAATCTCAACATATTCATTTGAGCGATGAGTTTCGGAGTTTTTCGTATCTGACAGTGGAACACCTAGGACCTAGGCTGTCCAGAAAACAAATTTCACCCTGGAACCCGGTTACTCAGAACAGAACTCCCAACCGGAAACAGTTTCAGTCGCCCACAGTTGGCGGAACCCGAAACAGAAGGGCATTGGTTGCCCCCCAAACAAAGGGGCGCAATTGACTGGGGACATCCAAGAAATCTCTGATCTGACATTCCTGACCGAAAACTGCAAACAATCAGTAGCAGCATCATTTGCTGAAGGGCCTCCGAATTTTCTCAAATTACATACAGAACAATGACAAGGATGTTGGCTCTTAACGACCGATAGACACTGAAGTAACTTTGCTTTTACTCTTGGGGGCAGGCAATCCCCAGCAATACCTACCATAAGCATCCATAAGCCGACCAAATGCCGACTAAACCCTACTCAACTCACGATAATCCACCGATGCACATTATTGGCCTAGCAAGACTTAGCTACTCAAAAAATACATTTTGTAAGGGACCCCAACACCCACCCACACCCAAGGCTGCCCCAGAATTCGTTTCCAAAACAAAATTTGGGCGTTCAACAATTGTTGAGCCAGAGTAATTAGCGAGAGACGCTTGGATAAACCGCAGTTAAACTTCAGTGGTGAGGTTCTATCTCGGCCTTTCAGAAGCTGAATTCCCACTGGGTTGCCCTGGCGCGTTGTCGGGACGCTGGTTTTGAGCTTTATCCCCGATGTTGGCAATCTCCCCAACGAGGTAGGCCACCTGGCCCAGTAGATTTCCTCTGACTTTCCTCCCTTGCTTTGAACCAATGTGAACAAAGACCATGCCTCTCGGTCCCACTCTGGTGTTCCTGGAGTGTACTCATCTCGAAGGCGCCTGGAATGAATGGAGTCGTGTCAAAGACCGATCAGATTTGTGCCATTTCGCCGAGTTTTTTAGCATGGCACCTTTTGATCTCGTCCATGATCTCATGAGGCTCCTGAACAAATACATTTGTCGGCTGCTCAACCCAAGCTTGTATCTCTAGTCATTTCACGTGCAGCTTAGTGAGTGATGCTTGTTTGGCGTTTTCAGTCGGAGCTGTGTAGAAGAGTTTTCTACAAACACCCAAAGCCCAAAGCTTAGAAATAAATGAGTATGTCCAGAATGGGTCTATTTGTGCAATGGGCTTTGTAAACTTCAGGCACCTCAAAGTGTGATCCTTTCTTCAGGCAAGGCTAGCACTTCTCCTACTCCTGTCACTAGCTGCCTGCTCTAGGGACCCTAGGGCCTAGTATTTCCAAGCTACCTGGCCAAACTCGCCATCTGGCTTGCAGTTTTAGAGCGGATGCTGCTTTCCTAGTTTCACTCTCCAAGACCATGCGACTGGACAAGGAGTGGATGTGCACTTAAGCAAATTTCCCAAGCTTGCCTGTGACTACAACCAATCGACACGCTCGAGCCGTAACAACCACATCAGTGATCAACACACCTCCTGTCGCCCCTGCCCCTTAAAGCCAAACAAAGCGATAGCGAAGGGCAACAGTAAACAGCGTTAACCATTGAACACCGTGCCTTGTAGATTCTGTCAATGATCAAAACCAGCCTCAGCACACCATATACAACTGGTCCATCATCCTCTTAACCTAAAAAAACATGCAACTGGAGCTGGCGCGCTGCGGTCGTAAGATTCGAGACTGCAACCCCACGGCTCTTAAGCCAAGTACTGATCATTCAAAACATCCCGAGACTCGAGAAATTGCCTGCGCTGAAACCAAGTTGACAATGAATATCAAAGCCACAGTGAGCAATCCGCTTTACTTGTCAAGCACTGCACCAAGATTCACTGGGAAAGCACATCATAACTCCATAGCAACTATTTTCCATCACATGTTCAAGAATCAAAAGCAAGCTCAAGGCTCCGCCTATTTTTGGCTTGGCCTTCAAAGCCATGACTCTGTCCACACTACTTACTCTTTCCGTACATTGTCCTTTCTCTCGCTGCAGCATTCTTAGGCTACAAAAACGTTCTCTTTGCTCTCGGCGGGCATCCGGCAAACAGGGCAACGCTCCAGAGATTCGGCGCAGACCGCGCAGGCACAAACGTGGCGACATGGGCGTAGCAATACATTCCTCGCTGCCTCAAGGCCTCAATTGGTTGAACACTGCAAAAATGTTCCGAGGATGGCAATGTTCGGCTGCAACCAAAACCTATATTGTGGGGTACATGCATTTCTGCCACTGTTTGTCGGAACCCGTTTTTCCCGTCTTTCAGATTGATCACAAAGTCATTAGTCATTAGTGACTCAGTGGCGGCCTTTTGCGAGCTTATGAATTGGTGGAACTAAAAGCTCCGTCTGAACACTCATTGCCAATTGAACCCTGTCCTATCCTATGAGCCATTCTTTTCTCCCAAGCTCTTCTGTATGAACCTCTGTGTTAGCTGAGATGTGCTGTCGGACACCGGACAAAAATCTGAATTAAGGCTGGGATCCGTAATTGCACTGTGCTTGGCAATCAAAAAAAAAATTGGGCGGATCTATAAATGCCCGTGCAGGCACGGTTTTGACAAGCACAACAAAACCAAATAAAGCCCGAGGCGCATATAACACAAGCCACAGCATCACGAACAGCCTGGGCATCTTCAACGTTCGCTGGAGCCGCATCGATTCTATCAGAAAGGTCAGACCACTTCAGCTGATCCACGCGGAAGAATCCCAAGAAGCACCCCCAGCGCTCTGCAGAACGAATCATATTCTCCGTGACGCCCTGAAAAGCTGATGGGAAGAAATCAATCGGGGAACCCCCTCCCATCCATCCCTGCAAAGCATAGATTTTCTGATAGATGGTGGAAATGCACTGGTCAGCTATCAAAGGTGCAGGCAACAAAGAATCCAAGGTGTCAGCAACAAATCCAACTAAGATCTGTTACCACAAGCCCTGCCCAACACAGCCATCCGACTAAGACGACACCTCCCTCGGCAACTAACCAAGGGAGGGTTGGGTGGGAAAAACAACGAGGGATGATTGGAGAAGAAGTGGGAAGCAGTCAATGCTTGGACTGATGATGGAAAGAGAACAAGCAAAAAGTGAGGAAAGAAGGAAACAAGGGTGGCCCTTAACATCCGCTGTCAGGGATCTCTTGGGGGGTTTGCTTTTGTTTTGTTTAATTCCCCGCAGGGTTGTTTCCAACTAGCGTGGCTAGGGGTTGTCTTGCTTCGTTCGTTGCGGCTTCATCTTGAAAAAGCTGGAGGGTGTTGTGTGTCTGTCTTACCCAAGTGGCGGACAATCTCCCAAGAAAAAGGCAACAAACTCCTGCACAAATAGCTCCCCTATCCAAAACTGCTTCATATATTCTTTGTGGGAGTGTCACACCAAGAAGGGTGCAATTGTTTTCCAAGAATGGCAGGGCCTGCCCCCCAGCTTATGTTTCTTACGTACTTAGGGTCGGTTTTGTCGTCTTTTCAAACAATTGCTGGCAATTTTCGTGGTGGTGGCGGGGGTGGCGGTGGCTGTGGCACTGGCGCTGGCGGTGGCGGTGGCGGTGGTGGTGGTGGTGGTGCATCCGCCGTTGGTGATCCTAGAGTCTCTTGTATATGTGTGAAACGGTTTTCGTGTACATGCGACTTCCACCCTTTTCTCTCTACAAAACGAAAAAACTGATGCTGGGATATGCTGGGCATGTGACATTTGACCCCTGCCACTCTTCAAAGTAGATGCAATGGGGAATACAAGCAGGCCATGAGTCAGCAAAAAGTCTTCAAGGTCATTCAACAATCGGAATAATCCAACATGCTCTTAGCACGTTTCGGTCATTGGTTTCAATCAGGAGCATCTGTTGTTGCTGACCACGTGCCTTTCCCAGCTTTGCTCGATCTGTCCGTGCCAGTCTTTGCAAAATGGCATTCATCTTCAGCAGCTGTTCAAAGATGTTCACGTCGTTCCTTTGCAGGAAGAATGCTTCGTTGAGTCACTATGCGGTTTTTGTTGCAGCTACTACAGAATACTGACTAAGTAGATCCGGCCAAGCTTCTCACTCTGAGACAAAAGGTCTGAATCCTGGAGAAGCCAAAAAATGATAAAGTCGTTCAACTTGGGCCTGTTTGGATCACCTGTCCGCTTCCCTGGACGGAAGCTAGTCACAGAAACCCAAAGCTCCGGGATGGCAAACTTCGTCCTCAAGCGCTGCAAGACAGAGGTTCCCACCTCACGTCCTCTCTTTGTTGAGAAGAATGCTCTGGGATCGGAAGGATAGGCCTCAATAACGGCAAAGCCCCTATTGGAGACTTAGTAGACTCCAGACTTAGTGGGATTTACCAAAAGCATGTCACATCACTTTTTCATTGAGCCAAAGTTGCATTTTGGAAATGGAGCAGCTCTCGGTGTGCCTCGTTCTCGTCAATGACAGCTTTCGCTCGAAATTGAAACTTGATATCTTGTCCAGTGTGTCGATGTAGGCGGTCCATGACGCGACATCTGTGTTGCCCGTCCATGACATAGAAAATGTGACGAGGATCGTTCAGCAAAATCAGCAGGTTGATCTGCCCGAAGTCTTTAAAATGACCATGCTCTGCAAGCTCGTCGAGATTTTCTCTGAAACGAGCGTCCACCACATCATCATTGATGGCTCGATTGCTGTTCATGGCTTCAAACCTGAAAACATGACGCACAAGAGCCCTCAAAGATCGGAATGATGATGATGATGATGATGATGATGATGGCGGCGACCACGGCGACAACAATTATGATGTACATGGAGACGCATTTACCTTCGCCAATCTGTCAAGAAACCTGCAATTAGATTCTTTGACATGACTCCACTGTAGAAAGCCAGTGTATATCCTTCTCTCAGCATCCTTGACCACCAAGCCATTCTCAACTCCACTCTGCAGGATCTCCACCTACATTGCGGTAAACGCTTCAATCTTCAGCTAGAACAGTCTTCTCAACATTCTCAACATCTTAGTTGATCTGTCCAAGCGGCCAAAGGAGACTCCATGGTTGCACCGAGTCGGCGTCGCACCCGGCGTTCGCCATCCATTTCCGGCTGATGCATCAATCGAAAGCATCCCAACTTTTTGAGTGGCCAAATTCTTTAGTCCCAATGAGCCCACTCACATCGAATAGGTGTAAACACGAAGGGTCTGGTAGTGGCAGTTGAATATGCCATTCTCATGTGGGTGTTGCTTGAAAGGGTTTTACACTTGTCTGAATCAAGCTCTTGATCTCCAAGCCGCAGAATAGAAAGGAACATGGCTCTGGTTCCCCAATAACTGCAGCCTTTGAGTGAATCGTGCAGTACCCTCATGCTTCTCATTTCACACTTCTGTTCCAAGGCTTTAGCCAAGGAAAAGAAAAAAATCACTTGAGGCACCTCCGTTGCAAAGCATGACGACCACGCTGTCCTCTGTGCTTGGGCCGCTCATGGTCCTGCAAAACGGGGCAAGCAGGCTACTCACCCATGGGTCTAAACAGCAACGGTGGACCACTTCTCTATTGAAATTATATAGCTATATATAATTATATAAGCATCAATTGAAAGGGTCAGGCACCATCGAGTTATATACCAAGAGCATGTCAGGCTCCTTGCCGTGGCAAAATGAACAGGTAGCTGCGTGCTTGCACGAGTCATTGGGCCTACCAATTGCCACTGACGCCGCTGTCTGTGCACAAACTAGAGGCAAGGCGGCGAATGAGCCTCTCTGGTTTATATTTGTTGCACGGCTTGCATCCAATTGGATGACCCAGACTGCCAGGATTGCCTGAGCACGTCCGCAAAAAGATACTAAAGCATCTTCAGGCATTGACCAAATGAAGGTCTTGGCAATAGATTTGCGGAACAAATGATACTGAGAAAAATGAAACCAATCAATAGCCCTTTCAAACTAGAAATAATACACAAGAGAAAAGAAAAAAAACATGATATCCTTTCATTCAAGGTGCGAGGGTCTTCGGGATTCACAAGAAAGGGTTCCTTCTTTTGAGCATAGCTACTCCTCGGTTGCAAGGCAAACAATGCAAAAGCAAACAATGCCTAAGGAGTACAAAGGAAGTAAAGCAGCAGAAAAATCGCTCCCTGCTTTCTGCGGGCTTCTCCATTCGGAGGTTCAGGCCTTCATTTGCCTCATATTTGGTCGACATGTCTTGATTTGCCCAATATCTGAGCTTCCAGGCATCAGCAATACTCCTCAGGCACAACTGCATGGCAAGTCGAAAAGCCCAAGAGAGCAATTCAAGCAAAAGCAGAGAATCAAGAAGAAGCCCTGCTCTTGAATTGCACCTTTTGTGGGACTTTCTCACGCACTCTCTTCGTTCGCTCCTTTTGGTTTCTGAGTTTGTTTTTGTCTCCTATCCGGTCCGCAAGTCTCTTGTTTGTCTCTTTCTGAGTTCCTGGCATCACCAATCTCCGCAAAGGGAGGGAATACATTTGAAAAAGTAGCCCTTGACTCAAGGCTGCGGAGTCAGGCTGAGGGTGAAGCTCTTCAGAACATCCGCTGAATCTCTCGCGCTTCATGCGCTGAATTTCTCATGTGCGACACAACGTAGAATGGAAAGAGAGCGGGTGGTCATGGGGCCTGGGTTTTGGTTTTCCAAAAATAAATTAGGTAAATGCTTCAGTGGCAGCCCCTCTCCATATAAACACACAAATAATCTATTCCTGCTCTCTCTCTCTTTATGAACAAATATATTCCTGAGTCAGGGTCATTTTATTGTTTTGGAAGCAGCAATCAGTCATTCAGATGGTTTTGAACAAGATAATTAGGAAAGAAGCAGGCCATAAAAGTGTTTATTTTCGCAATTGTCCTCTAGATCTCTGCTTATAATTATGTTTAGATTTGGAAAGATTTTATATAGACACGTTTCTGCAGATAATATTTTTAGATTTAAACAACTATATAGAAACCTTGTATGTTAAAAGCTTTCTTCTAGATTTCTGCGGGTAGGAGCTTGCATATATCCCATATATGTGTTTTCATGAAAGAAAAGCTCTTGAAAGAAAAACTTATTTATTGATATATAGCATGTTTAAATTGACATGACCATTTCCAGAGATCCAGAGGAAAGCTTTTGAAATGAAAACTTTTATATATTTTCATTGTAGAAATGATCATCCTTAGAGATCTAGAGCGAAGCTCTTGAATTAGAAGCTTGTACATAAAACATGAACATGTCTTTATTGTTTCCAGTGATTACTGTAAATATGTAAGTCTAACTATTTACTCTAAAAAAAAGTTTTAGTCTTGTTCCCAGCACAGGGAAAATATATACTGTAAAACACGCGGTTTTGTAGCATGTGTTTTCTTAAACTAAATAGACTAGAGCTAGCATAGAATTATATAGGTAGAATTAGGATTTGACTTAGAGCTAAGATAGAACTGAATTAAAACCGAATTTCAACTAAACTTGTATTGAACTACAACTATAACCTATTTAAAATTAGATGAGAGTTGAATTAGAAAGGAATTGGAATTAAAACTAGAAGTTCGCCAGAATAAGATGTAAAACGCTTGAGCTACAAGGTGCACAAGTCGAGGAGGTTTCGAAATTACAAAGCCGAAGCAAAGCAACAAGCATTGAATTAGAACTACAGCTTACATAGATTCATAACAGTTTCATGTAAATTGGAAGGTGTCATTACAGTTTCATGTCAAGCTGGACATGCAATTGGCAACCACATTGATACCAATCAGAAGTTAATGCACAGACTTGTACATGGAGATTTCGACAAGGACAAAGGGAGTGTTGGGCTCAGATGCTTTCATTCTAAGAACAAAGAACATATGCCTTTAGGTGAGACTTAGGCTCACATGCTTGAAGGTTGAACGAAATAGTAATAACACAGATTGACCTAAATAGGAAAACCAAAAAAAAAAACTTGAGAAAACCAATAACAACCTAGGAAAAAAAGAACTGGGAAAACAAAAAAAAAATGGGGAAGTCTTGAGGAAAGGGGGGGTTGAGCCAAGAGTCTCTGAGAAGTGTTGTGTTTTTTGTATTTTTTTGGCTGTCTCAAGGTTTTTTTGGTCTTTTGTTTTTTCCTAGGTTGTTATTGGTTTTCCCAAGGTTTTGTTGTTTTTTGAGCTTTTTCTAAGTTGTTGTTGTTTTACTGCAAGTTATTCAGTGTTTTTTGTGGTTTTGATTGTATTTGTTTTGTTGTGGTTTTGATTGTATTTGTGAAAAGACAAATACAGAAAACCAAAAACCCAGGCCCCCATGGCCACCCCTTCTGAATGGAAAACACCCTCAAAGGCACAAAACATATGTGGAAATGGACGTAAGCAGGTTGGCAATCCAAACACAGTGAGGTCGGCTATATGATAGTTTGTCCAGCTGCATGCTGCATTCCTACTTCTTTGCCAAGAATGACAAATCTGAGTTTATGGCACCGTCTGGTGCACTCAACATTAACATCCCAGATTGTCCTTCGGACCAATGGGAGGCAGATCTGCTGTCGATGCATGTGAAACTTATCTGGCGCCACGGCGCAAAACGTGCACAAATCTTGTCGTCATCTCATGATCTCACTGCCAAAAGACACATCACAGCTACAATGGTGGCCTCAATACAAAAATGAAGAATGAATTGACATGTGACATGAACTACATTGACCATCAAATAGGCATCGTACCGCGCCACATCCAATCTCCTTTCCGCGTGCTTAGCCAAGCAGCCAAAGAGGTCTGAAAAGATCCGTTGCAATCCACGTCGCAAATCAGGACTTCTACCTGACAAACTGTGGACGCGGACGAGTCGTTGAAAGCCGTCATCTCGTTCAGCCTCTGAAGTTCCATCGACTCCAATTACACCAGAGTCCTCGCGCAAAGGACGACACCAATCGCCAGTCTTCTTTAGGTGTTCCTAGTCTTCTAGAATCCAAAGCCCTGTCCTTTGCCGTTGTGAGATCCCTGAAACGCAAAACAAGCAAAATATTCAGAGATGGTCACAGGAAAGGTCACTTCCACATAGAAGCTCATATTCATGAGCACAAGCAATAAAAGAGGTCGAACCTACAAATATCTCCGATAACATTTGCACATTCATCTGACCACTGCCTCAGCAAAGAGAACTGCCGCTTCAATAAACGGAGAGAAACTCATACTGAATCAGAATGTACAGCAATACAATTGAGGATCCCGCTTCGCACAGTACATCTGAGCAACATTTTAAAAAATAAGAATAACTCTTGGAGGGATACAGGACACAATGAAGGAATCAATCAGGGTGTCACTGGCAAAAACGGTCACTTGCAAACTATATTACTTAATGCTATATATTGCAATGTTGCATTTTAGCTGGAATGACAGCATGCAGAAACAGAAATAGTGTTTCCATGACTGCTAGGCTGCTAGAGTTCTTTGTTCTCTAAGAAGTGCACCTCACACTTTATTTGCTCACATGGGGTGAGCTTCTTCCCACGTGAAGGCTCTTCGGCCTTGTCACAGAGTCATGCTGCTTGGACCTCTTCCGCACTTTTCTTGTGCATCACTTACATGATTTCTGCACCCTTTCCCGTCGTCTTTTCTAGGTGAAAGTTTGCTTTCCGAAGCCCCTATCAGACTCCTCAGATCACTGCTTCTCTATCTGGTTTGGCTGGATTTACAAAGTGATGGGCCATGCAAGTTGATCGGAAACACACAGCAAACCTGGAAAACAACGCAGTCGCCTTGCAACTTCTAATGCAGCGTTGAACAAACTCCTGGACTCCGGGTTCCAATGAATCAGCGATTCTATATTTGAAGGGAATGCCCAGTTAATGAGTAGCTTTTGTGGCACATAAGGAGGCTTTCAAACACTTTTACCATCCTTGGATCCCACTCAAACGCTCTCAAATGCTTACATCCATTCCGTGTCCACTTAGGACTAAAAATGAAACACTGCCAGCAGAAAGCAACAGTAGCATACCATGAACCAAACCATACCCCATGGCAAAATCATGCACAGTCAAAAGCTTGTGCTGAAACAAGGAAGTCGTGGCCTCCACAAAACCTCAGGAAACCCCATTGGAAACGTTAATTACACCTGCAATCACCTTGACAAATATCAGATTGGACAGCTCAGCCGCTAAATGAGAAAACATACGTACCGGAAGGCGGCGGGTGAATACAAAAAATCCAAACGTGGGAGAGAGCGGCAACGATAACGATAGGTTCTGTGGCATCTGGAATGAGGCCTGCCGCAACAACCCGATATCCTCCGTCTCTGTTCCCAATACCTCATACATACAAACAAGTACGATGGGTCTCGCAAACGACCAACGACCAACTCCTCGTTGCAAACGTGGGTATAGGCCTGCACGCACCGATCTCGCTTGAAGCTAGCCTCACATCCATCACAAACAAAGCATGCCGGGCGGAGGGCCAGAAGAAACCTTGAACCAAGAGACCGAAATAAAGTGACAAAATTTACAAATTGAAACTGAGTTTTATATATACATAAAAAGAAACAGGTCCAGAACTCCGTTCCACATCTGGTCTCTCGAACCTCCATGCCAGCTGCGCAGCTCTCGCAGTCGGCAATCCGTGTGGAGCCTGCTCTGGACACCTCAACTCATGTCGTTAGAGAGGCTTTCGTCTTCAAACAAAGTGTTCATTGAAAGGATCAAAAACGCACAGCCTCGCTCGACAAACTCGGACATGGTTTAGGCGTTGGACTCGCGGTCCTTCCCGAGAGGCCTGTGTGTTGTCGGGACACCTGGATCGACAACACGTGGTGCCTTGACGTCTTTGATGAAGTTTCAATCTCTGAGGCGAAAGAACTTCTTGGTGCGGAAAATGTAACTAAGCAAAAAGAGAATGCCTGATTCATGTGCTCCCTTTATATCCCTTTATCCCTAAGGGAGCACGTGATTATCTGTCACATGATATCACGCCGTTTCACTTGTGAATTGCTCGATCGGCTTAAATGTTCAGCTCAAGGTCGAGGTGGCACTAGCCATCTGAGTTTAGAACTTTTTGAAGGTGTCGCATCCGTCACAAAAGTCTCCCGGCTCACACAGGATGCATTCGTAGATGCCACGCCAGGACAACTGCGCAAAAAGGTATTGACAATACAGATCTGTGATACATGGAAATGCAAACATGCAGAAACTAAATCTTTAAATTGCAAAATGTCTGAGTAAATTTGTCAGAATGATTGTCGTTTTAATCTCTCTCTATCTCTGTATACTGAATACTGTATAATTACTGTATACGGTATTGCTGTATACATTACATCCTCGCCTCAAGGTCTTTCTTTAGTCCATAGCAGGGTGCTTCATAGCAAGTCGCACAACACCTCGGTCTGTTTCTGCAATGAGCAGAGCAATCCATGCAGTCAAACGCGCCAAACTCCATACAGCAAAGAAGTGTTGAGTAAACAAGCTGTCCGCAGCCTGAAATAGCCAGGAGGGCATACTGGCTCGTAGCAAATGTCCTCACCATAGATGGGATCCTGCGAAAGAAACACACCAACACAAGCTCCAGATCCATCCCAAATCCAACAACAAACACCGGAAACACATGGAAAAACATAGAAAGGCATGAAGAAATACGAATACGATGATGTTCACATTCACATGAAAAACGTAAGATCGTGAATTATCGATTTCAAAACGTCTTGGTCCGGGCAACCGCAAGGCTCGGAGTCTGTGGGGCGAGGTGCCGCCGGAAAGACTTGGCCTTGGAAATATACTGTATCAAAAATGTTCAAACAAATGTTTCAACAAGTAAACACAAACGTTGTTGAAAAAATACAGTTTTTCTTATATGAAGACTTGGAAGCGTTTGTTCTTGAATTAGCCAAGTCAGAGATGCAAACCTGAGAGAAAACCACAAAAGTAGTGATCTGTCCCTCAATCGTGCTCAGTTCTTGGCCTCTGCCGAAGGTCAAGGAGTAGAAAAACACAAGTCGACCAAGCCGACCTGAGACAAATGGCACCGCCAACATTAACATTATGTTTTGGCCTCTGTCCGCTGGATTCAACAGCCTCAAGTCAAAAATATACAATCCTTTGATGTTCCAGGTCTTGAGGAGCTGACCGCGCATCGCATAGCATCTGCGGCCCTTTTGCTATGCTAGGATCCTCATCATTACTGAGCCAAACAATACAGTACTGTACAATTGGGTTCAATGTCAATCCCGCAGAAACCTAAAACATGGAATTCCAGTCCCACTGATGCAAATTTCATGGAACCGCGGTCTTCAGAACGAAAGAATGAGCACGCAACATGCGTTTGTGTTTGTAAGGATTGCAAACTTGCACGCTCGGCCGAAGGATTACACATGGGCACATCGGAACACACACCGCGTCAGGTTCAGGCATTGAAACAGTTTCCACTTGATCTGTTTAGTTCAGAACTCAAAGTGAGCTCCCACGGGCCCGCACGGGGGCATGTGTGTGTACACTGTGGAGTCATGAGTCACCTCTCAGCGAAGACACCCCTGCCACCACGGTGATATCCGGAGGGTGCACCTTCTGGACGCACCTGCTTGGTTGTGGCGATAGTGAAACAAAACGAGAAAACACGCGCCCGCTACTTTTCTGGACTCGGGCCACTGCAGTTCGGTATGGACATGTTAGTCCTGCAAACTTCTTACACTCCACCTTAAAGGAGCGGTGAAGTGAGCCGCTGCTTTACCGACCGTGCTGCAAGTACAACTGGGCGTAGTGCTCGAAGTTGTCGTCCCAGTCGCCCATGATCACGATCTTGCAAAACAAGCTGTAGTCGTGCTTCTCATCCACGGACCACTGGACGATGTGGTGTAGATCGAAGCCAGACGAGTTCGAATGAACTCCTTCAGCTGGTTCGTACTGAACAATCCAGCTTCAAACACGCGTCGAGCCCTTGGTTCTTCTTCTCGCTTCATGTACTTGAACCATATATGGAGCCTTCAGGGGGGACCCCCTGTGGTTATACCCTAGAATCATTACAAATGGTTCCTGGGGCATGCCACTTATTTCAAAGAATGATTCCTAGACGTGCCCACTAGAGTTGTTGTCACAACTACTGGACTCATTTGGGAGCAGAAAGGACAAGCACATTCGCCCCTTCGAACGCACATGGAAAGTGTGGATGTCCTTGTCAGTGAGGAGGCCCAGCAAGACATGGACCTCAAGTCTGCCTTTGTCCCTGCTGTCCCGCGCCAACCCTTTTTCCGTATCCTGCTCGGAGACCCCCGCCAAAGTCCTGGAGGTGTAGCCGACAACCTAAAGGGAGCACCGGACCCTCCTGCTCAAGGCCCCAATTGGCCTGCGAGCGAAGAATAGATGGCTGATGCCACAAGAACTGCCGAAAATTGCCTGCAGCCTGCTCAAAGAGAGCGGTGAAGCCTCACTACAAGAGCTCACGCAAGCAGCAGAAGAAGTCAGTCGCAAAGCGTTAGGGTCAGGATGGTACTCCCGTGAGGACTGTCCTAGCACCATGCCGGCTGGAGTCAACCTGCAAGCAGCGTATCCAGAGCTCCGTCGCATCCAGCTAGACACTCCGGAAGGCCTGATTGCTGGCCTCGGCTATGCTCTAACGCGCCCGGACACATGTTTCAGTTCCACCAGGCCAGTACGGCTGAAGAACGCTCTGGTTTGGCCGGGGTGCACCAATGGAGCATTATGCTTCCGACAAGTGCAAGGGTAGCTCAAGAGGTGTATGAACCCCTTATTGGGATTCATTATCCCATGCTCTGTAACGTGAAGAATGGCACCTGGCAAATAGGCACTAGCTCCATCCGCGCAGAAGATCAGCTGGCTACAGGATTCCGCTTTGTAAACTGGGTACACGATGCCTCGGATCCGGAGGTAAGGGCTGTTCCGACGCCGGCTGCCACCAATGCAGTCTACCGGCAAATTGAGCAATGGCTCCCAATGACAGACCGAGAAACCGACAATGTACTTGCCCTGACAACTCGAACGCTCAGTGCTCAGCACCTGCAAGGCTTTTTTCAGCAGTCGGGTCGGAGGGCCAATGCGGAGACAGCAGTCAAAGTTGCTGGCGCAACAGCCAAGCACTGTGTAGTCTTGCATGGCAGATCCGCCTTTCTCAGTGGTACCTCGCGAGGTAATGATTACGACCACGAATGCTACACACGTGCCAATGTAGCGTACAGCAGAGCGACTGACTTGACGGTCTCTGCATGCCCGGTCAACCTGCAGGGGGCCACAGGCATGTCACAAGTTCCATCTGCCCTGCTGCACGGAGTCTGCACTGTGTACACAAACGACCAGCAGACATCCAAGGCCTTTGCCCAGGGCGAATTCCCAGTAAAATGGAAGTGGGTCTCAGAATCCACGGCTGACTTTCTTGCTGCTATGGAGCCACAACCACTCTGGAATGGATCTCTTCCTGTCTGTCTTGTCGAGTATCACCAAGGGCTCTCCCGACGGCTCAGGCTGGTCCTTACGTGGCAATCTCACCTCACTAGAGGAGAAAAGGAACTACTAGACCATCACCACCCAGTGCACGGAAGAATACACAGTAGTGGCCTACTGTTCGGCTATGCAGCTGACCGGTGCACTGAGCCAGATTGGTATGTCCTGCCAGATGGGCACCTGCCAGATGCCTGGAAGCTGATCCATGCAGCACGTAAGGAGGGTGATCGCTTCTGCGTGGGAAGGGAAGCACGTTATACCTTCAGGCAAGCTGATGACGCTGCCAACAAAGCCAAGGATTATAGCTTTGAGTCCCTCCACAAAATCTACTTTTATGACGCGTGGAGATTGGTAATCGAGCTGAATCAACCTGACTCCCTCCTCCGCCTTCCCCCTCGGCCAGGACTCCTACAGAATGGCTGCTACTGGCAGCGCTTGCCACTGCGCAATGATGACGCCGACCAGTCACATGACCCTCCTGCTAGGACGATCCAAGCCGAAGTCAGCCTCACGGAAACTAGCTCTGCAGAAGGCGTAGACGATGCATCCCTGAGTGAAGTACCGAAGCCGGCTGGCCCGGATCATGAAACTGAATCCCCAACCTCCCCAATTTTAATTGGCAGCACAGAAGAAGAGCAAGCAGACTCTCGGAAGAATGCAACAGAACCCTCTGCAAACGAGTCGCCCGTCGAGACAATTGTCTCTGCTAGTGAAGAGGCTGTATCCAATGAGTTACACAAGAAACGGACAGGACTCAGGAGCGGAGGCTGCCAATAGACGTTGCGATGGTGTCCCGGTCTTGTTGTGATGGTGTCCCGGTCTTGTTGTGATGGTGTCCTGGCGCCTGCCCACGGCATGGGAGGCAGCCACCAATCAACAGCAAGTAGGAACAAAACGGCCTGCGCCTAGCACTCCTCTTGACGAAGCGGAGGACCAAAGGAAACCCTTAGAGAGCACAAGAACTGCGGCAAATACTAATCACGAGGTTGAGAGTGGTCACCTGTGTGGCTGCCCTCTTGTGCCTCTATCTGAAAACAGTCCTGTCACCCCTCCAATAGAGGAGGCAAAGAGACGTAGCAAATGGGCATCTAGTCCGCCTGCAGTCTCTGCAGCCCCGCCACTAGGCGTGGATAAGACAAGGCGATCTGCCGCTAGCCCAGATAGCCCAACCAGCCCGGCTCGCAGTGCAGGTAAAGGTGTGAACGAGGCCCCTGCCCCACAGGCAACAGCGCGGCCCAGGATGCAAGGGCCTCTTGCAGTCAAATCCAAGGCGGCCAAACCAGCTGAGTACCCACAGGGACGGGTTACAGAGCAGGGGATGATTGATGCAATCCAGTCTCGACTACACACACCGCTACCGCCTGACGCAGGTCTGCTGAGCATAGCGGCGGCAAGGTCAGCTGCAACAGCAGCCACTAATCCGCAGATGCCAGTTGCGGATACAAATGACCCAGAAGTGCACACATCAACCAAGGAGGAAGCCCCCGCAATAGAGATTTTTCTTGAAGAGGCAGATGACCAGTCGGGACCAGTTGATGCTGACATAGCCCACCTAGCAGAGCAGAGAGCTATGCATTCGCTGCTTCGTTACCAAACGCAAGCAGTGAAGCATAGTACCCACACTAGTACTAATTCTGCAGACGCAACCACGATACTGCCGCCAGCGGCGGCCCCCAGTGAGCCTTTATGCCAACCTGCCACAAGAGTGGCCCCTGGCGCGTCTTAGTGTTCAGGTACGCCGCATCAGTGTGCTGCTGAGGGTTACCCTTTACCGCCGAGTTGCTGAGCTTAATTTCCGCGGAGTCGACTTTCGGACACTGCCGCGTGAGGTAATGAGGAATATCGTTTATGACTTCAACAACATTGGTGGGGAGTTAGCCAGACGTCTCGCGTCACTCTTTGCTTTCCTCAAACCAGACACAAGTGCTGGCACACAAGCGGACACACTGGGGCTAGCGCTCTACGCTGACCCTGCCTATTGGCTATATGGACTCTTGTCCTATTGTGCCAAGGCCTGCGAGTCCAAAATTGAAGAAGCCAATGGGACCCCTGTATGGAAAGCAAAAGAGGAGGGAGGCACACCAGACATTGAAGCCACAGGCAAAACTTTGGCGCTCATGCAAACAGTCGTAATGTCCTTTGGCCGCAATCAAAGCCTAGGCAAGCCAGACCTCCCTATCCATCATATACATGTCTACTTCCCGGTCCAGTTCGTGCACAAGCTGGTAGCACGCATGAAGACAGACTTGCTCTTCACAGAAATCACTCCAGAGGACGGAAAAGAGTATAAGCATAATAGTGAAAGCGAAACCAACAGCCCATACATCGTCGTGGGCACATATGAATGCCCGTGTCCCTCGAACACCTTTGCAGGCCTCCCGCACACACCCAATCTTGCAGGGGCTTACGAGCAAGGACTGCTGGATGGCAATCTGGGCCAAATGGTCCCCTTTCAATCCACCTACAAAAGCATCCTCCGAATTGAAGTACCAGTGTGGCCAGAAGTGGTGCAAGCAGTGCTGCCCCCCGCACAGGCCAAGTGCCAGACTGAACCCCGGAGAACTGCCCTTCAAACTGCCATTGCTCGAGAACAGAACCGGGCAGTCGGGCCGACCCCACAAACACAGGAAGGCACTCCTATAGAACCCGCCAGTGCGAAGAAGGCTGAGGAGGAAGCAGAGGAGGAGGCCAGAAGGACAAGGCTGTTTCTCCTTCAGGCAAAGCCTCCTACTCAGAGCCA